GCGGTGGAGGCTTGCTCTCCAGCAAGATAGTGCTGCTGCCTGGCATCTCGGGGAACACTCATGTTACCACGGGAGGCGCTGCCGCCACCAACACTCCGCCGGCGAGGGGTGGCAACCACTGCTCCTACCCCCCCGGGAAAAGGAAAAAACAAAGCGGCGGACGCGAAGCAACAACTGCAAGCCATCATGGCGGACCGCCGTTTTTTTTTTTTGTATTGCGCGTGCCCGTGGGCGAGGAGAGCCGCTCGAATCTGTAGGCGCGCCGCGCTTTCTACGGTCGGCCATGACCCACACACAACCCTAGCTGACTTTCTACGGTGAGGGGCACTCGTGGTGCAGACGCAGCAGCCCTCGCGTGCCTCTGCAAGGGTACTTTGGAAAGTGCTCCAAATACTTTGAGAGGGTTGTCAAAAAGTTGGAACGAAGTGGAGCAAAGTTTTCGCGCCCAACTTCGTTCCAAATATTTTGAAAAAATATGGACAAACGCCTACATACAGGTTCCATTTTTTTGACACTTTCAAACATTTTGACAAAAAGTCGGTCAGTTTAAAACGGCCCTATCACGTCACCAGGCTTCCACGCCACATCCAGAGAAACCATACCCGAGCTATCACGTTCCATCCCAAAGTAGAAGGCTGTCACGCCCATCATAGTTCCTACACTGTACCGTTGGCGGCTACCGCGCGGCTGGCTCTTTTATTTCCCAACCAAGGGACCCCGCGCGCAAAGGCACCGACGCACAAAGCTACTCAACAGAGAGAAAAAAAAATGTAGATTACATTGCGGTGCTCCGAGTTGATTCGATTGGCACACGACATAGAAATTGCATACCGGACTGCAAGGATCTTTCGCATAGACTAGACTACCCACCGAGCGCTTGAACAGCAGTGATGTGGTAGGCAACTGCTGAAGTGTTGGAATTCGTCGCACAGTCTAGAGTGTAGGTCTTCTGTGCTGGCTCTCAAGCACCGAGACTCTTCCGGAGAGACTCACGCACTACGGCATGTTCGTGTCCTCCGGTTCTCACTCCACCAATCTACAAAGATGAACATGTGTAGTCTATACTGTAGCTCCCCAGGAGCAGGGTTCGCGGTTTGTGGTGCGGATACACACAGCAGTGTCCCATATGTTTCGAATCACACCTCCGCACGAATCACAGCACCGTATGTACAACTACATCTTCACTTTGTCCCTACCAGCTGCAGTATCAGTCAAATGTGTTGCTCGAGTGATGAAACGTGTTGCTATAACAGTAGTGGTCGTTCCTCCTTTCGCTGTTTTTCTCTTCCAACCCTTCACCTCTGTGTAATGTGGCTCACAATACAGCATGCGGTCAAACGAATCCGGTGAAGATCGAAGATGTACAGCAGTATTAGTGACGTGGACGTACAGTTAGGGCGGCTGCTTCCTAAATACCCCTCCGTTCCCATATATAAGCGTGATTTGGACAAAATGCGGTCTATCTTGGTCAATTTTTAGTTTTTCCGAACCGTTTTTTTCCTTGGTTTCGCCGCGCTCGCGCGGGGCGCGCAGAACCGGTGCTTTTTTTCAAACCAACCAAAAAGGTGTGTCCTACCCCAGCAGAAGTTGCTCGAAATCACCACCCCAACTTTGAACCTCCGCCCAAAAGCCTTCCCATCTCCTGGTGAGGGATGTCTGCTGCTGGGAGTGCCTCCCAGGTGGCAAAACGCAAGAATTTCAACAATTCAGAAAAAGAGGAGGTGATTCGGCACCTCCTCACTGGCAGCAAGAACGGGGTTTTGCCGTATGGTGCTTTGTGGCGTCAAGGATGTTTATGAAGGAGCAAATACATTTGGAAATGCTATGAAGAATGCAATGCATGGTGAACAACGGGGTATGAGTGTTAAGCTTGTGCGAGCACTACTGCTGTAAAAGTGACATTTTAACACCACCTTGGCGGCGATTCTACTGCTGCTGTCCGCACGCCAACTTGACCCCCGCCCCTCCCCAGCTTAATGTCCGAGCTATCCCATTCGAAAAACGGGGCGGTGCTGCCATAAATACGCCCGGGAGTTTGTTTTTTGAATGCGGCCATGAATCATTTGGCACCCGCAGTTCGTTTCTCCCGTGGCTGGGTACAATTATGCTCGATTTTCCTCGATTTCACCAACCAGGGGATGACAACGGATCATCCCCTCCCTTTGTGACCGGAACATTTTTTTTTTCGTCCAATGTGATACGTTATCATATCCCGAAGTTGTCCGACGTCCCACAATGACCTAACGACTTATTTTGGAGCATGTAGTGCAAACCACGCTTATATTCGGAAAACCCAAATCACGCTTATATATGGGAACGGAGGGAGTACTTTTTTCTGTAAGTGGCGAGTCGGACCCGTTGAGACCGTTTTGAACGCCTGCATAGAGAACAATGCAATCCGCCAGAAAAAAAAAAATGTTGCCGACCATGCAACCGACGTACAACATTAATTTTCTACTGCTGTACGCTTGTGACATTTCGGAAGCCAAGTTGTGGTGCATTTTCGATCTTTCTACTCTCGAGTAGAAAATTGAAAATCCACCACAACTTGGCTTCCGAAACGTCACATGCGAGTCGGATCCGTTGAAATGTTTTGGGCACCAGCGTAAGAAGGAGAAGAAAGGAGGACATTGTGATCCGCTAGCAATATATGTTTGATCATATAGTTTAGGCATTGTGATGTTTCACTGTCAACATGTGTGGACCATATACGCGTGTATGGTAGTGTACTGAGTCGTCAAGTAGCCGCATGATCCGGCGCAGTTGCCCAACACTGCGCGCGGCCCGGGTTGGCAACATGACTGTAGAAGCGTCGGACCATTTAGTCTGTAATCGAAACCCTGGGGCGTTTGTCGAAACGGATGCTTCCTCACTGCGACTTCCCCCGTGGCTTTTGCCACCGCAACAGGGGCTGCAAGATGGAATTCCTTTCGATGACCGCTGGGCCTCTGCTGCTCGCCTTGGCCGTCAGCACCGGTCGCGGCCGCCGTGGCAATGACAACTCCAACGACGCACCGTCCCCGACCCCCACGTAATCGAGACTCCTCGAGTGACTTCCTCGAGTGATTCCTACGACGCCACGTCCGTCGAGACGACCGTCGAGTCATCCCAGGCGGCAACATCCTCCTCCCCCTCGACGAATGCCGAGGTTTACCCGAAGCCGATGAGTTAAGGCAACGACGCGGAGATTACCCCCGAGCCTGTTTCCTCCTCGTCCTCCGACTCCGTCGAGGCCACGGCGGAGCCGACGGACTTCTACGTCGAAACGACAGACGGAGGAGATGAGGCGATCACGATGGGCAGCGGAACGGATGACGGGGGCGAGGAGGAAGGGGCCGATGGAAAACCCTGATGACGGGGCGTCCTGCTCCACCTACGAGGAGCATGTGAGAACATGAAATTAACAGAAAACCGGCGCGTACAGTACGAATTTAAGAAGAAGAACCGAACCATTTTGCTAGTAGGGCGAAACAAGAAACAGAAACGGCTTGAGCATACTTTGCTGGGTTACTACAGGCTCGGGTGGTGAGCAGTATCAACCATAGAGAAGGCTATTGCATGTGTGTTTGTGTGTGTGTTTTGAGCCTTTTTTTCATTGCATCGACCGCGCTACCCAGCTGTGTTCGTTGTTGCCCATAATGCAATCCCACGAACACGTTTCAGGTGGAAGTCGCGAAACTTCTTGATAGCACTTGTGAATGGGACCCCTACATGTGCTGCTGGACCGGCAACGACGGAGCGGACGGGATGACGGCGAACTCCGACGTCTGCCGCGTACTGGACTACCCGGAAGAGGGAGACTCCTTCGAAATGCCCCGGGAATCAGAGGGCTTCGTGTGCTGGTGGGTCCATATGCCTGTCTTTCTTTGTAGAGATCTGAGTGTTTCAAGTAGTCTACTGCATTTTGTTTATCCTTTTTTGAGCAAAAGATCTACGCCATGCATGGGATCCCGCATCGTAATACAGCGGGGGGGCGTCATGAACGCCGGTTGATTAGCGCCGGTGGCCTTGTATTGCGTCGGTGAAATTGCTGGGCACAGACCGACAATCATTGTGTACATTGAATAGCGCCGGTCCCTCTGAATAGCGCCGGTCGATTCGCCGGGCACAAACCGCCGTATTGAGGGCCCTCCACTGTAGTCCGTATTTCGTTTTGGTTTTGGTTAATTTTCTTTCTTCTGTTTGGGGAAGCGATCACTTCCCCTGGATATGGATTTATCCTCTACAGCTCCTGCTGGGGTGCTAAAACGGTAACGCGATATCTTGTTTGCTTTAACAAAGCTGTTCGTGTGCCCACCCCGCCTTGCTTCTGTTTTGATGCCAACCAACGTCAGCCACGGCTTCGCCTGGGCGGAAGGCGCGGACGTGGACACCCACATCCTGCCCCTGTACCACTACGTGAAGAACGTCGGCCGTACCGAAGAGGCGGGCTTCTACGGTGAGTCGACATCTGTTGGTGGTTTTTGCTCTTGAGCTAAATACGCGACGAGCAATTCTGACTTGCGGTTGCTCGGGCGCGGTTACCGTAGATTCCTACTTCGTACCTGACGAAGATCACCGGAGCATTGGTTTTTGGAATGACTTGCAGTACTACAGTTGTAGCAGGAGGCCTTGGCTAGAGGTATCGGAAGGGGCAATCTCTGGTAGACCTTCCTCTACGTAGGGCTCCGTCTTCTTCGCGTACGGCCCGTAGTACCGTTGTTGGACACTGCTGCGTTGAATGTGTACGCAGAGATGAAGCTGCCGGATAGGTCCGTGCCCTGTCACATCACTAGCAGCGCCGTTTGTTCCATTCGGGCCATGTCAGGGGAACGACGGCTACATCTTCTGTCTTCGTCGTGGTGCCGATTGTCCACCGCATCACCCTCCGGCAGTTTTTGGTTCCCTTCGTGTTTACCCTTTTGCTCCGGGGAAATGTGCACGGTAGGCCCACCACGGCCGTTTGGCGAACCTCTCGTGCTGAAATCTTGATCCTCTCCTTGCACGTTTGTCGTTGATTGAATTCTCGTGTGCAATCCGACAGCGTGGAGGGAACGCCGGAATGCGGGTGCATCGAGGAAATACCTTCGGTGTCCTGCTCCGAGTGCTCCAGGTACGAACGTCAACGTTTTGGTTTGCTGAAAACCTACCTAGTGGGGAGCCATGGTTAAGGGCTTTGCCAAAGGACAACGTAACGACATTTAGTAGTCGAGAGTGGGATTACCAGCCATGCCGGCGTTTGTAGGTAGAACATTACCTGAAACGTATGAATCTTTGATGTGACCCTCGACATGACCCCTTTCCTTCTTGTCACGTGACCAGGTACTCCTGGGAGGGGATCGCTGGTTGCGGCAACAACGGGCTGTTAAGCCAGTACCGCGGTTGCCTGGGCGAGCCCTGCGGCCCTATGGACGACAATCTGGTGAGGACATGCGACAACGAAGACATTCCCGACTACGACCACGGGTCGTGCAGTCACAACACGTACATGTGCTGCTTGACGGAGAACGACGGCCAGGGAATGGCAGAAAACACGGTGAGACGTCGCGTGCCGGCCGTGGCCTCTTGCGTGGAATTTTCTTGCTACAGTGCTGACAGGTGTTGTTTATCTCGAGCGTGATGACTCTTTGGCCCCCTTTCCAAACGTGTGAACCCTCGCGCAGTACCATCTCTGGACAATCCCGTCTATCGACAAGACACGTATGCTAGGAAGGATGTTGGGCTGACTATGTTGTCTGTTATCTTGGGTCATCTTGGTGCCACGAAGGACGTGTGCCGTGTGTTGGACTACCCGTCGGTGGGTGGGGCGTTGGAGTTTGCCGGCGACAGCGAGAGAGAGGCGCACCGCCACGGGTTCGTATGGACCGAGGACGCCACCGACAAGTACATCCACCTCCTGTCGCAGTTCGTCCAGAAGTTCGACCACAGGGACAGGAGGGGGTACTACGGAAAGTGAGTCGCCTCGTACGTTTACCTCTGCATGCCCACATCGGTATCCCGTCCTCGTCAGCCTGTCGCCGAATTGAACAACATTTGTTTCGTAAGACGCGTGCTTGTGTGGACGGTCGCCCGAGTTTTCGCGGTGGTGACGTGCACCATTCTATTTTCTACTGAATGCCGACCATGGTACCACGTCTCATACACGACACACCTCTCTCCATCTCACCCCTACCGAAACAAAAACACGTACCACACTATGTAGGGCAAACAGGTACATTACTGTAGGAAAAGCAGCGCACAACGTCATCATGGTGAATGGGAGAACGACTGGTCCAGGCGAGGACAACACGAATAACCCACTGTCTCCTCCTCCAAACGTTTCGCATGTCATTCTTGTCGTAACCAGTATCGAGGGCGCCCCCATGTACGGCTGCGTCGAAGAGATGCCGGTGGTTTCCGAGGCTGACGGCACCACCTACGATACCGACCCGGAGCGAGAGGGCAAGTTCACGGCGTGCACGACGAACGACCTCTGCACCCGCTACGCGGAAGACTACCCCACGGGGGAGCTTGCCAACCTCGTCGGCACCTACGACAACGCGGAGTAATTTGAGAAGACCCAGCCATGCCTCTGTGCTGGCTGTCTGTGCGTTTGTACATCCGCCCCGATGGGCTGAGGCTGCCTGACATACTTTTTTCGGCCAGCACTTGACGGAGGGCGTGCCTTGTGCACACGCAGGTCGTCAAGCATGGCAGTATCCTCCCGATTTTATATTTCAACACGTGAGTCCTTACTTTGGTCCCCATCCACGCACAGTATTGTCGAATGGTTTCACGTCGACTGCATGATCTAGAGTACTTTAAACGTGTTCACGGGTGGGTGTGGGCTGCTCGCCCGTCAGGTTTGGTTGAAGAGGGCCGTTTTGTTGCTCCACGTTTGAAACCGGGAACGTAGGCTACAAGTCGAGATATGTAGCTGCCGGGTTCTGCCTCGATTTTTATGGCGAATAGAAGAGACATCGGTAGGCATTCACAACTTGGGTTCGTACCTTTCGGGTAGGACAGGGCTCATCCTGGAGTTGTATTTGCCAACCCGGAGTTGTATTTGCTCAAACTCCTTTGCTGGACCCAAGTGTCTTCCTTTTCATATTCCAGTCCATAAATACAATAATACCATGGTTTTCGTCGTTGTGTTGTTGACTGCGCAGACGAGTACGCTGGCACTGGACATTGTGCGGAATGCTGAGTAGGAAAGCATTTGCACGGATACCTTTTCGATCTGGTTTGACTGTTCTTTTGCCGCGAGCGTTGCATTCTATCGACCGAAGCATCCTGCTCCTGATGGTTAAATCATGGTGGTGTTGGGTTGAGTCCGGAATGCCAAGTTTTTTTCCAAGCCAACGTTCCTCGTGAGAGGCTCAGTGTATCAGGAAAAATCGCGCGTCGAGACCACCAGTAGTCGGACACGGTTTGACCTTTGAATACGATTGCATCAACTAGTCTGCGTAGCAGTAGAAAATAATCTATTTCTCCGTGGCATCTATTCTCTTGTTCTAAAAATATTCCGGAAGCATGCTAGGTCAAGGTCCACAGGGACATCTACGTAGAACGTGTGTAGCTTCTGGAAACCTTCTGGAACCTTCTGGAACCTTCTGGAAGCGTTACNTCGGACACGGTTTGACCTTTGAATACGATTGCATCAACTAGTCTGCGTAGCAGTAGAAAATAATCTATTTCTCCGTGGCATCTATTCTCTTGTTCTAAAAATATTCCGGAAGCATGCTAGGTCAAGGTCCACAGGGACATCTACGTAGAACGTGTGTAGCTTCTGGAAACCTTCTGGAACCTTCTGGAACCTTCTGGAAGCGTTACAGACCTAGGTTGCACTTGATACTCTTCTAGAACGTAGGAGGGCTTCCAGAAGCATTCTGGAAGCATTCTAGATCTTTCGTGCAATTGGTTCATTTGTCTGGTATTCGAGGAGAGTGGTGCAGCCCTAAGCTCGCCACCCCTCTCACTCCACTTCAGTACCAGCAACATCAATCTGATGCGGGAGTCAGCAATTAAGATAAACACCTTCATATTTCCATTTCGAGTCTCTCACGGTTGGAGCCGCAAATAGTATGAACCTCTGAGGTAGTATACACAGCCTCCTGGCATCTGCAGCGTCGTACTGCTGCTAGTGCACACCGAAGTTACGCTGACACAGTGAATGCTAAGCTTAACTCTGATTTCGTTGACGTGGTTGTCTTGGGAGGATTCATTCCAATGCTTCATTCCGATGCTGTGTGAATGGCATTGACAAAGTGATTTTTGGCTGTGTTGGGTCTGCTGGCGACTGTCATGTATGTATGTTGCCTCTACAGATTCAGGTTGAATATTTTGTCGTTTCACGCCGTGTGAATATTCGACGTAGCACGCGTTTGCGTAGCTGTTACACCCTTGCTCTTTAGCTATCGGGCCTGCATTGTTGGCCCTTGAACTGGCATGTGGCTTCCCGCGAAACTGTTTGTCCAGGCGCAATCGGGCGGACTCTGTATTATTCGGCCCTAGAATCGGAATCAGTTGCAGCGCTACATGTATCATTAGGTTTTGTCCAGGTTGGATGGGTAGGACGGGCTCGGAAAAATGGGTTGATGAGTGAATCTGGACACCAATGGACCGATGAGTGAATCGAGACACCATTTGTTACAGAGTGCTTGAAACACACCCCTGCAGTTTGCCGGCATAGTGATGTATGCAAGGAGTGGCGTCGACTGTGGGTCGCGCCAAGGCGCTCAAGTTCTACACGGAAAAGGGGCGCACTCGACCCCCACAGTGCGACAGTAGCCCTATCCAGTCTGCGCTTCAGCTGCTGGCCTGCCTTCAATATATGCGAGGTCATATTGTGAATGAAAGCTGGCCGGTGCCAGACACTGTTGTTGCGTCGAGGGAACACGTTGCCCATAGGGTTGGCTGGAGCACAGAGCTATCGTGTTGGTGTGCTCTATAGAAGCTGAAATCAACCCATTAGACTAGTCAGCCGCTGACTAGTCTAATGGGTTGATTTCAGCTTCTATAAAAGTACGTCGTGGGGCTCAATGAACCCGACACTTTCCTGGACATCTTTTATAGAAGCTGAAATCAACCCATTAGACTAGTCAGCCGCTGACTAGTCTAATGGGTTGATTTCAGCTTCTATAGCTCTCAATACAGCCCGTAAAATATGTCCCCACTTACAAAGATCGTATGTCAGGCATGTCCTGAGTGGTTCGTTGGTCCGTCTTCCGCTTGTTTTGCGTGTTTCATGACTATCCACACAAATATTCACGCATATTCTACAGGTACCTACCGTAGCTCGTTCGTGAGGCCTGATTGGGTCTACGTAGACTACACCGTTCAATCAATGTAGATGGAAAATCGTATGCCTCAATATTCCAGCAGTGAATAGCGGTTTTCGATGGATATGTATTTCTCTCGCGCATTGTTCACGTCCGTGGTACCGAGGTATGATAAATCGTACAGTAGCAGTCCGCATCCCGGTCCAAACTAACAACGACGAAGCTATCATTGACGTGTTCGCGCAAGAAACAATATTTGTATACTATAATGTTTGCTATTTTGACGCTGGTCAATTTTACCGAAAAATGAAGTCTTTCCACCATGCGCAGCTTGACCTTTTTCATATTTTGAGGACGTCAAAGAAACACGGACATGGGGAAGAGGCATTGAATGAATGTTGAAGGACGCTGATTAGTAATATCAGAGGTGCCCATGACTAGATGACTCGAAGACGGAATACACAGCTTGCTAGCTCTAGACTAGAGGTTCATCTGTACCATTTGGAGAGAGCTGAAATCGATCAACTGGGTTGACGCATGATGGGTGTGGATTGACGCAAATATTATTTTCGCAGCGGCGATGAATTCATGGACGGATTGGATTAAAGGATGAACCGGAGGATTGATGGATTTGATTAAAAGATGGAAGAAATGGATCGACGGATGAAAATGATTGATTGCCCTAGGCAGCACAAAGTTATGCCTAATACGTGGCCGAGTGAATTGAACTTGCTCCTCTAAAAGAAAATGTGTCGGACGCTCAAAACTCCTACATCGTTGCACATGAACACGAAGGTACACCAAATATCAGTTGGCCTCGTTTCATTGTCTCCTACTTGTTTTCAGCACAGTGTACGCGTTTGCATCGTAGGCAAAGCACGCCCACGATCGTTTTGGCACACACCAGAAACGAAACTGCGAATGTTCCATAGCGTAGTCGCATTTTCAGCCATGGATAGCCATTAACTACATGTACATCTGGCTATGAGGTTGCACTACTATTGTAGGTAGACGCTCTTGGAATTCATGACCGTCTTACCTTCACGACCACAGCGAGAGAGTATGGTCCATCAAGAGTCCTGTTAGATATACTCGCAGCAGTAACTGGTCGTGAGGATCCCGAGGGGATACGTGTTGGGAATATCGTGTGTTGTAGGGTAGCACTGGTGCAGTCACGGGGACCCTTTTGGCGTGGTTGGTGCGATGGAGCTTGCGTGCGTGCTGCGCACTTCTTCTTCCCTCTCTCTCTCCACCACCACCACCGTCTCTCTCCAATCAAGTTTCCTTCTCCCACTCTCTCTCCACCTCTCTGTCAACGTCTCTCTCTCGGCCTAACACGGCCGACTACTCAGTGCCCGAAGTAACGCCCAGGACGGGCGTGCTGCACCCCGCGTAGTTTACCTTTCACACTAGTGCGATATCACGGTATCTGCACGCGGGCGTGGCCTTCCGAGGGTTGTGCAGTCATGCGCAATCGGTAGACTCCCACAACAACAGACACCATGGAGGGCATCGACCTCTCCGCCCTCAGCGGGGAAAAACTACAACAAAAAGTGGAGGAGATCGTCCTGCAACGAGTACAAGCCGAACTTGAAGCCAACAGGATCAACGAGGGCGAAGTTACCTATGCCCGACCACCAGCCGTCAACCCAGTCCCACCTACTGGCAACCAGCCATCACCCTCCAGCCAGGGCAAACCAGCCACCTTCAACGACCCCAGCAGCGTCGCACACATCGTGGCGCAAGCGGCTAAGGCGACAGCTGAGGCCATTGCTGAACAACAGGGATTTGCCCGCTCAGGCACGTCACGTGTCAATCCTGGCTCAGAAATAGAACCTTGGCTTGGTAGCGTGAAGAAGGAGCAGGACTTGTATATTAAGTTTGATATTTTTCGTGGTAAGATGATTTCATATTTTCAGGATGAGGGTGTGCATGATGCGTTGGAACTGGAGGTCGAGGTCAAGGTCGGAAAGAGGGGTGTGAATGTAGCAGAGCTTCGGAGACTTTTTGGCAATGGCGTGGTAGATAAGACATTCAAGCTATGGGATACCCTTATCAGCAAGGTTTTGTACACCCCGATTCAGAGCTTGATTTGGCGTACGAGAGTCCCCTAAAAGGCTGGTAAATAGTGACAGACTTCTATCAGGAGAAGAAGCAGCCAGAAAAGTCGAGGTTGGAGCAGGACTGGAAGGAGTTGGAGATGAAAGAGTCCGAGAGTCCACAGGATTACATTGCCCGCTCAGAGGCCCTTCGCCTGCGTCTCGCATCTGTAGGCACGATTAAGGATGAAACAGATGCCAACAAAGACATTGCTCGTGGCCTTCCCTCTTCGTTGTATGCCGTGCAAAAAGGAATACTGCTTGCCCATGATGTCCTGACGTTGCGTACCCTTGAGACTGTGGTGAGGGATGCCCACGTGGAGATGGAGCGCGAGAGGAGCAAGGGGGAGAGGCGCGAGGTGGAGCTCGCTCTCTCCGCGTCCGGCATGGGCCGGCGCGGCGGGGGCAGTTGGGGGGGCATCCGGGGGTCAAGCCGGCGGTCACGCAGCAGCTGACGGCCAAGATCGAGACGGCGAGATGGACAAGGGTGACGTGTTCAACGACGACCCCGGCGGATGTTGCCGCTACCACCAGTCCGAGCTTCACACCAACGAGCAGTGTCGTCTCCAGCAGCAACTGCGGCGCGCGCGTTCGAGAGAGGGCGCCGAGGAACGCCGCTCGGGCGGCGGCAGCCGCGGTGGCGGCGGTAGCCAGCGAGGGGGTAGACCGCCGCCGGGGCCCTGCCGCAGTGGCGGGCGATGGGTGAGGATAGAAGGGCAGCAGCACCACACCAGTCATGGTGGCGGTGGCTGGAGCCAAGCCTCACACCCCCCGCGACCTCTTCGTGGACGTGGGCCTGGTGGTCGTCTGGGGCGTCACCCGGGGGGTCGTGGGCCCGCGGGATGCCACAGCAGCGACGGTCGTGCCGAGAGAGAGCGGGCAGGGAGAGGCCCGGGGCACACGCGTTCTGGCCACGGAAGAGAGCAGGCGTACGTTGTGTCCTACGCCCACGATGATGGTGGCTACTACGAAGACTACGGCGATTACGGTGACGGATACTACTACTACGACGGCTACCACGACGCCGGGTACGCTCACTACGCCGGCGATGGGGACAGCTACAACTACTCCTCAGGGTACGAAGACCGCCGTTCATCTGACGGCGGCATCCACTACGTCTACTACCCTTCCGCTGGCGAAGATTCGTTATCCGAGTAGCCACGTCAGCCCCCCCCCGCGAGCAGCAGCAGCACCGCTTCCTCCTCGTCCTCTACCCCTTCTCCTGGCGCGCCTTCGTCTTCGGGCTACCTCCACCTCTGCACGGCACAATCGGTGCCCCTAGGCAAGTCTCACCCTGAAGATTTTGTTGGTAGGATAGGAGTGACGATTGGAGTAGAGTCTGCTGCGTCTGCTGCGTCTGCTCCGTCTTTGCTGAGTGTGGAATCTAATGACGGACCGCCTGGTAGCGAGAGATGGGTAGCTGACTCAGGAGCCAGCAACAGTTTTACCAACAGCAACCTGCACATGTACGACCTGCAATAGATCTCCGCCAGTAGGAAGTATGTCGTTGTAGGTGATGGTCGACTGCTCGAAGTGCAAGCTATCGGTAGCATCAATTTTAGGTTCTTTCAGGAGGATGAGAATGGTGAAATAACGGCGATGTGTGTGAAGTTCACTGACGTGTTTGTGGTAGAGAACCTGAGCGTCAACTTGTTTTCGACGCATGCTGTTTCTTTGAAGCAACATATCCTCTACGACGAGCGTGGTGCAACCCGACAAATGGACTGCTCTTTGCTAGAGAGGGAAAAGCGTCTGCAGCGTATGCCATGCGGTTGCCGTACGACCCATCTGCGACTATACTAGACTTTGCTGCTCTGCCCACATTCTTGACTGCCCCCGACCGCCCCCGCCGTCGGCTCCACGCGTTCCCCTTCCCAGAAAAGGGGACTCCGCGGAATCATTGGTGTCCGTGTTGCGTGTTCCTCCCGCTGGCTCTGCTAGCGTAGTACCTTCGGCTGATAGCGTCCAGCCCACTGGTCCCACCAGTGTAGTACCTGCGAGTGAGAGCGTCCCGCCCGCCGGCTCTGCCGACGTAGTACGTTCCTCGGCGTCCGATTTTGTATGTGTGGGTACTTATCCGGGTATGGATCTTGGAGATACGAGTGTGCTCACCGACGAGCAGCTCATGGATGGCTATGATGACACCCCGTATCAAGATTTTTTCCCCGTGTTTGTCCCAGAGAGTGACGCTGCGAATGTGGCTGGTGTTTTGGATAGCATTGATGGGGGTGCTGATTTTGACTTGGGTGCGGCCGCGCTTGGCCCTGGTGCGTCCCCGTTTGCTCTTGGTTCGACTGAAAAGTCCGTTGACATCAACCGCTTCCACCGCTCCCTTGCCCACGCTTGCGAGCCGCTTTTGAGCGAAACTGCCCAGCAGAGAGGCATCGTGCTCACGGGCAAGCTGGAACCTTGCACGGACTGCATGAGGGCGAAGGGCAGGCGAGGGTCAGTGCCGCGGGGGCCGGGAGCGCGAGCGTCTCTGCCCCTCGGGCGTGTTCACCTGGACCTGTGTGGATCGCTGGTGCCTTCCCTGGGCGGCAACCTCTACCTGTTCGTCGCCGTGGACAGCGCCTCGCGGTGGAACAAGGCCCACGGTCTCCGGCGGAAGTCCGACACGCTGGCGGCAACGAAAAGGCTGCTGGCGCACGTGGGGCGACGACCTCGGGCGCCTCGGGTGGTTCCGCGTCGACAACGGCACCGAGTGAACCCGCAGCGACTTCCGGCGCTTCTGCGACGACAACGGCATCGGCGTCGAGTTCACCCCGCCTGGCGTTCCGCAGGACAACGGCGTCGTCGAGAGCGCCATTTGGCGCATCATGAAGGCCGGCATGGCCGCCCGCCGCATCGCTGGCCGTGTGTTCAACGTCGACGTTGCCTCCATCCCCGGCCTCGACGAGCGCGGTGACCGTCTTTGGATGAAATCGGCGAAATGGGCCGCCGACGCTCTCAACCGGTCGGCGACCAAGGCNGCGCCATTTGGCGCATCATGAAGGCCGGCATGGCCGCCCGCCGCATCGCTGGCCGTGTGTTCAACGTCGACGTTGCCTCCATCCCCGGCCTCGACGAGCGCGGTGACCGTCTTTGGATGAAATCGGCGAAATGGGCCGCCGACGCTCTCAACCGGTCGGCGACCAAGGCCAACCCCGGGCGGCTCTCGCCGCACGAGATGTTCACCGGCGAGCACGGGCCTTTCCGCGTGCTGCCGTTCTTCTAGCCCGGCTTCATGCGTGAGGATTACCGCACCAAACTCGACGACCAGGTCACTCTCTTTCCTCTACCTGAACGGCGGCGACAACCACCCGAGCGGCACCGTCAAGGTCCTCAAGGCGTCCACCGGCCGCGTCGTCTACACCAACAACGTGTCGTGGGTGACGTCTGCGCCAGCCGGCGAGGGGGGTTCCGCTGGTATCACCGCTGCACCGACACCGCCCCCGTTCACGCCGCCGGTCGTCTCGATCAACTTTGGCCCAGCACCGACGCCTTCGACCGCCGCACCGCGGCCGCCAGCGCCCACACCGTCGCCCGCTCCCGCTCTCGCTGCCGCTTCGCCCCCTGCAGCAACGCCGCCGCCAGCGACCACGCCTTCACAGCCGCCCTCTGCCACTTCGCCGTCACCGTCGGCGACCCCCGCTCCTGGCCAGCCGTCCTCTGCCGCTTCGCCTTCACTGTGGGCGACCCTCGATCCAGACCAGCCGCCGTCGCCGCCGGACCCCGGACGCCCCCGCTTACGGCTCACGCCATGCGGCAGCTTCGCCCGGGTACAAAGGCCGAGGGTATGACAGACCCGCGGCTGTCAAGCCGTACGAGATCGGGCACAAGGCACAGCACAGGACTCATCTCGATGCTAGACAGGAACACTCTGGTGTCGATGCTGGAGGCTCGGAGCGCGGTGGATGAGGAGCGCAGGGAGCTGGGGGGGGCGGAGGCCGGAGAGTCGGGGTGAGCGGGGGCCGGAGAGCAGGCGGGAGCACTCGCAGCGGTGGACCCGGGGGCTGGAGGAGCGGGCTTTCCACTCGCATTTGCCACGCTCCTCGCCAACCGGGAAGACATCGACGCCACGCTGCGAGACCAGCGCCCGCCGGATCAACGCCCTGACCTTCCGCGCTGCCAGGCCAGCGACCTTCGTGTTCCGAAGAGCTACAAAGAGGCCATGGCGTCGGAGTACTGGCACCTGTGAAGCGAATCTATACAATGGGATTTTTATGGCTTGTTGGAAGCGGGGACTTTTACTCCGGCGAAGTAGCAACTAGTGGAGAACGAAACTAACGCTAAGTGGGTATTCGATTGGAAGGCAGATGAGTTTGGATGGCCCACTAAGGTTAGGTCGAGACTTGTAGCGAGAGGTGATATGCAGAGAGAGTACATTGACTTTGGAGTTGTACGCGCCTACCGTCTCTGTTTCGTGTGTTGGGATGTTGGCTGCTTTGGCGTGCGAGTTGAACCTCGACTTGTATCATTTCGATATTGAGCAAGCTTTTTGTGCGTTCGGAGTTGGAGGACGACGTGTACATGCGTTTGCCGCAGGGATGTGGAGCTCTATCTGCAATGATTGTAAAACTAGGCAATAGTCTGCATGGCTTGAGACAGGCATCTAGGCAGTGGCATGCAATGCTGAAGAGCTGTTTGGTGGCGTTAGGGTTTGAGCAGTGCATGGCCGATGCTTGTATGTTTCGTTTGATTGAGGATGGATGTGTTGTTTTGATTTTGGTAGTACATGTAGATGACATTTTTTGCTGTGGGAGAGACGGAGATATGAGACAAGTTTTGCGCCGACCTTAAATCCGTGCCAGTGAAGAACCTGGGAGAGTTGAGATAGTATTCTGGGTGCTTTTACGAGAGGAACAAGGAGATCCGGTAGGTCGACGATTTCACAGCAGACTTTCACGGATGAGCTAGCAGCAGAGTAAGGAGTAGTGGGAGGTAAGAGCGTTCCCATATCTGCGGGGGTGAAGCTTTCCGATTTTGATGCGGACGAGGTTGCGACAGACTTTCCGTTTCGTGAACTAGTCGGATCTTTGATGTGGCTGGCGACTCAGACTAGACCAGACATTGCGAATGCAGTAAGGGCAGTAGCTAGGTAATGCTCATCTTCAAAGCAGGTTCACTGGGATGCAGTGATAGGTATTTTAGGGTATTAGAGGAGGACGAGTCACTTCGGTATATTTTTTCAGAGGGATACGGTAGAGGGTTTAAGTTTGCAGGGGTACCCTGATGCGGACTTTGTAAGCAAGGCAGCAGACCGTAGGCCGGTATCAGGGGGGATCGTGACGTGTGGAGGAGGCGCCGTGTCTTGGTTTTCCAGAACGCAGAAGTGTGTTACGCTTTCGACGACAGAAGCAGAGTACGTGGCGCTTGGTGACGTAGTGAAGGAGATCTTGTTTTTGAGGCAGATTTGGCGCTTTATGTTGCCGCAGGTCGGCATGCCGTGCATCCCAGTCTTCGACGACAACCAGGGGGCGATTAAACTAGCGCAGAACCCCATCTCAAACTCGAACTCGAAGTACATAGATGCAAGGCACCATTTTCTCAGGGAACTGGTACAGAGGAAGGAAATTTCGGTGATCCACGTGCCGTCGCCATACCAGCGTGATGATTTTCTTGCGAAGAGCTTGTCGAAGGACACTTTCGAGTCTCGTTCAAGGAGTAAGGCCGTGGGCGGTAGCTTGCTCCTAGAGATAGATGAAGGTTCTGTCGTTGACACGCTTNGGTCTGGGATGAAGTGGGGATCCAACTTCATCTCAGGGGGTACACAGAGTAGACAATTCTAAGGGGGTAGGGGTCAGAAGGGTATACCTCCTGACCGACCCGCATCCTATCAAGAATAGGATATACCCTATTCATGCTAGCAGCCACACTCCTTAACACTAGCCCACCCTGAATATCATATATATATGCAGATTCTATACTCAATTCAATGCTCAAATCCTAAAGCTACAATAAGATTTAGCTGATGATTTATGATCATAAACCGAAGATATTAGTCTTCACAAAACACCCAAAAGGAGGGTGAGTTGTAGAAATATCCCAAATCAATCCCCCACACCATCATTGAGATGAAGAATGCGAACGGTCGCGAGACGGAACATCGACATCTCAATGACAACGCTTGAAGGGATAAAGCTACGAAGAATATATATTGCGGCACAGCACGCTATCATCCTGAACAGACGACGACAGGGAAAAAAACAATCAATGTCCAGACGCCACACACCACTCTTTTACGCGCACCCGCGCGTATTATCGCTGGAGGAATGAGGGTGACTACCCGAGAGAGTCCAAAATACGGTGACGAAACTCAAAACCCAAACAAATTTCCGAACGAATACGGCCTTTGATACTGGACACGACGCAAAGGGAAAACTCAACGCAATCTAGGACGTTAACGAAGGGCAGGAGAAAAGAACGACAAGCAAAGGCAGGGAGAACGATTGCCGGCGTGCCAGGGTACCCAACTCGTATAAGGAGACGGCAAGGGCAAGACCAACTGGGGACCAAGGATGCAAAGCACAAGCGATTAATGCAAGAGAGGCAGTCGACGAACTGCGCCATGGCTCGCTGGCGATACGCATCATTCAAAGACATATAACACAGAAAGTCGTAGAGATTCACACAACAAGACGACGACCCAGGGGCGCTACTGTGATGATGGCGTCGCCCGAAGGTGGCGATGATGGAGACGAAGCATAACGAAGTGTGGGTGACGACGAAAATCCATGGGAGAAGGCGACGCCACGGGATGGAATCCCGAAGCACCAAGCGTATGCGACACTTCTGCGGCACGATGGAACTAGAAGAAAAAAAAAGGAAAAAATCAAGACAACATTAGTTGGCAAACAGGCGAACCAGGAAAACGCGGGGAACTCGGTGTCCAAGTGTCCCGAGGCAAACATCACCGACGAAACTTGGGGAACTCTTTTTCCAAGTGTTCAGAGGCAGACAACACCAACAACATATTCGCCTGATTGAGAGCGAAGTATCTGATTGAGAGCGAGAGCCAAAAAAATTGAAATTTCGGGTCCAGACGCCTCTTGCCATTTCTTGGCAAGTAGGGGACGGGCTATTCCAAGAAGCGGTGCAAATTGAAGGTCTCATCAGCAGCTTCGCGAGCATATGCGTGTCATCGTCATCGGATGCTGCAGCGAGGAGCTAGACAAGTTGCTAGATTTGCCCAGATTGGCTATTTCTGCTCAAAC